ATAGTTATTATCTTTTTGCCTCTTAATGTGGATATACCTTTTCCCTACTAAGTGCATTGGTTGGTCCATGCAAAAATGGCCTCTGCTATTGCATTTGTTTTTTGTTTGCATATCAATTATCATTGCTTATATAAGTCAACGTTTGTCACTCACTTTCTATCCCTGAAGAAGCCACGTGATTTGTGGCGTAACGCGTAGGATGGAAGCTTGTGACGTCTTTTCTGGTGCATGCAGGAAGAGCCATCTGTGTTCAGCCTGTTTTTCCCTTAAATGCTTGCAATAGGTTCTGTGAACCTTGTATCTATGTGAGTGGCATTTTTTTATAATTTTTTTATGGTAATAATAAAGCCTTACTACACTATGAGGAGCTCCTTGTTCCGCATCCATTGGAGTGGGGATGTAAATGATTGTTCCTGAGAGTGCCTTGAGAGACCTGTGGAAGCAGAGGATCCAGTGGGATTCATATTGAGCACATGTTGACCTATATTTTCTATGGGTCAGCTGTTTAGGTGAGTGTGCATGCCTGAAGGTGGAGGGGCACGACAGATTTGCACACCTGCTGAAGTCACTGGTGCATTACTTTAAATGTTGGAAGAAGGACACTGTTATATTACTTTTGGACTGCATTTTGCACTTCAAGTGTTATCTATCATACATCATTTATCTGTTTTTTTTGTATATTCAGTAGAGCTGCTTATTTTTATTTATTTTTTTTTAATACGCACATTTGGTGAATATCGAGCCCAGTTGAACATTTACTTCATCACATATTTATTTCACTGGGGGGCTTTTTGCTCAGCTGGGTATTTGTTTTACAATTATTTAATACGGATTAAATAATTTTTTTGTTGATTTTCACACTTTATGCTTTAGGGCAGCCAGGTGTTTATTACAGCTTGGCCAGGTGTTTACTGCTATTGTGATCATGTTTTATTTCTGATATACGTTTCACATATTTTACTGTTTTTGTTGTTTTTTTAACACTTTATAACACTCTATAGGTAAAGTTGATCCAGGGAATATCCGATTGCCTCTCGGGGGATCAGGAAGGAATTTTTTTCCCAGCAGAAGCAAATTGGATCATGCTTTGCTGTTTTTTTTTGCCTTCCTCTGGATCAACTGTGGGTATAGGATTATAACTTTTTTTTTTTATTTTTTTTTTATGGTTGAACTGGATGGACTTTTGCCTTTTTTCAGCCAGACTATCTATGTAACTATGTATTCTTCAGCTCAGCCAGGTGTTTATTGCTACTTGATTTTGGTTTATTTTTTATATATGTATCATCTGGTTGCAGTGGCTCAGACAGTTTTTTTTATTTACTATTAACTTTGTTTCACAGATTTATTCTATTACACATTGGGTTTGATGCTCAGGAGGGTGTTTATTAGTGGGGGGGGGGGGGGTTTGGGTCACTAGGGGGCAGCGCAGCACTATTCTTGGGAAGTTTTATTGATGTGGGAACATATTTAAATGCTTGCAGCAGCTTATCATTTAATTTGTGGCAGCGCATGAGTATTATATCCTTATTTTTGCTATTGGGGGCACTGGTCATGAGGGAGGAGCCAGGAGAGCCAGCGGGGGACCAAGAAGAGGCGGATCGGGCCTGCTCTATGCTAAACCACTGCACAAGTCTAAAATATTTTTAGCAACCTTCTGAGGGAAATGTGTGTTTGTACACTGCAGCTTTCTATCCGAGGCAGATATTGGAGAAGTACAGGGACTGAATAAAGGATGGAAAGAAGGGGGTTGTTTCCTGTGTGTCAGAGGAGTCAATTTACTAAAACTGGAGAGTGCAACATCTTGTGCAGCTCTGCAAAAAAAAACCAACCAGCTTCGATTTTTTTTTGGTCAATGCTTAATTGAATAAGCTGAAGTTAGAAGCTGACTGGCTACCATGCTCAGCTGCACCAGATTTTGCACTCTCAAGTTTTAGTAAATCTCTCCCAAAGTGTACTGTGCAATTACTCAGGTTGTGCATGCCAAGAACTGGCCATTTATTACAGCTGGCTGAAAACAAGTATTCAGATATTTTTGATCAATAAGGCCTCTGGCTGGTCGACTATTCAAATTGGGTGACACACGGATTTGTATTTTGCCAATGATAAGTCCTACTGACATTGTATTCCACAGACATTGTGATCCCATTAATGTAAAGGCACTATTTCATTTAACTACTTTGTATAAAACGTGTTGCTTTCAGCATTAGCACCTTACCTGGCTGTATTTTGCTTGGCTCACTCTGTATCATTTACTTACTGCATTGCTAAATAGTATTTACATTCTCTGTACCCATGTAAAAAAAAAAAAAAAAAAAAAGGTGATTTTGTACTGTTCTATTCTATTCTATATTATGCAAATCACTTTAATTAACATAAAAGCTTTAAAAACAACTGTCTGAGAAGGGTCAATATGAGTAGCTTGAACAGGACCTGTGATTATACTGAAGTCAATACAGTTCTTGGTAAGATGGAAACGTCATCAATAAATAAGTGAAGCAGCTTAGACTCAGCTCTTACCCAATATCCAATATGCGAAAGCTGCTCACACTTTACACATAATCATATGTTTTCTAACAAAACCTCAAAAATTGTGCCGCACTTTTTCCTTAAAATACGAACATCCCCAAACTCATATGTGTCATCGAAATATGAACATCCCCAAACTCATATGTGTCATCGAAATATGAACATCCCCAAACTCATATGTGTGATCGAAATATGAACATCCCCAAACTCATATGTGTCATCAAATTTACCACACACCTGTGTATATAATCTATTCACTATGACAAAAAATGAACATTTAAAAAAAAACCATAAAATAAAAATGTTTTAACCACAAGCCTACAGGGCACTTATACCCCCTTCCTGCCCAGGCCAATTTTCAGCTTTCAGCGCTGTCACACTTTGAACGACAATTGCACGGTCATGCAACCCTGTACCCATATGAAATTTTAATAAATTTTTTTTTAGACAGACAGAGCTTTCTTTTGGTGGTATTCAATCACCTCTGGGTTTTTTATTGTTTGCTAAACAAACCAAAAACCACTGAAAATTTTGAAAAAAAAATTTTTTTTCTTAGTTTTTGTTATACAATTTTGTAAATAAGTGATTTTTTTCCTTCACTGATTTGCGATAATGAGGCTGCAGTGATGGGCACTGATAGGCTGCACTGATGGACACTGATTAGCCAATCAGTGATCACATGCAAAGTAGTAAGCAAGATGTCACTTGTGACATCATTGCTTACTACGTGTGAAATCTGTGAATGATCACAGAGGTCACATGGTACAAGGCAATTCACAACAGCCTTGTACCATGTGACAAGCTGTGACCAATCACAGTTCACTCAGTAGTTCTCAATGGCTGCAAGAATGCAGACAGAGAGACAGAGAAATGATTGCTTTTACATCCTATATGGGTCTAAAAGCAATCAGTGTAAAAAAAAAAAAATCTTCATCACCCCCCACAAGTAGTACAGTGTCACCATGGTGACACTGTACTGCTAGGGTGACAGTATGTAAAAAAAACCCCCAAAAAACCATAAATAATAATATAAAAAAATAAAATAAAAATGTAAAAAAAAAGTTAAAAAATTATAATCTTTGGTTATAAACTAATTTGTCTTTTTTTTTTTACTAAAAAGATAAAAATGGAATAAATTTTGGCCAAGATTTATGATGATATATTATTTATTTGTAAAATTTTATAAGAAAAACACTTTTTCAAAATTGTTTGACTTTATCATTTACATAGAAAAAAAAATAAAAAATCCCAGCGGTGAATAAATACCACCAAAATAAAGCTTTATCTGTCTAAAAAAAATGGTAAAAAATTCATATGGGTACAGTGTTGCATGACTGCGCAATTGTCATTCAAAGTGTGATAGCGCTCAAAGCTGAAAATTGCCCTGGACAGGAAGGGGGTAAAAGTGTCCGGACAGGAAGTGGTTAAAACATTTTCATTTTATGTTTTTTTTTTTTTACATGTTCATTTTTTTGTTATAGTGAATAGATTATATACACAGGTATGTGGTAAATTTGATGACACACAGGAGTTTGGGGATGTTAGTGTTTTAAGGAGAAAGCGCGGCACAATTTTTGAGGTTTTGGAAACATGTCATCACCTCTTCCCCTGGGGCCAAGAACCACAGTGATACATCCTGTCTACAGCACTAGTTGATGGTGATTTTGCTGTTGATGTTCCTTTACTTACATATATGCTTATTCAGCAAAGAACAATATGAAAAGGTCAGTACTTCATAGATCAAAATTCATCTTACACCAAGCTGACTCCAGAAACTCCAAACCATATTAGAGACTTTGGAGGAGTACCACCTTACTGTATACACCGAGTATATAAGCACATTACTACCATTGCCTGTATAATGTCGACAGATTTAATTGACAAAACAAACATGGAAACAAAAAGGGAAGTAGGACCAGCCTGTAAGAACATACAATTTAGGTTACAGAGTTTTATCCAATGAACTTTTACAGCAGTGCTGGCAATACAGTACCTTCATTGTTTATAGTGAGGATCCACAGAAGTTAGCAGAGCTTTGTACAAACTGGATATCCATTTCATTTCAATGTAATGTTACCAACAACATTTCCATGCAGATACAACCTATACTTAGCACATTAAACTGCTGTACCCAATGCTTTCCAGCGTGAGAGACATCTACTTTGACACTGGTAATTGGGGCCTACACAAGTGGTTAGTCTGGTTGAAGTCACACAACACCGTGAACAAAAAATGACCTTAAGTCAGAATATCATACTGGCATGTCAAAGTGTTAAAATCTACAGCTGCGATCAAGTGTGATCTCACAATTGCAAAGATATACAAACCCAAGTGAACAAGTGCTTCCATCCATTTATAGCCAGCTGATCACTAGAACCTTAGAATTGCAAAATATACTATATATATATATATATATATATATATATATATATATATATATATAGTGAACTGGCAGTCTAGGATATCACACTCACCGTAGTCTCATCTTCATGAAGAACTTGATCGTACCCACTCAGAGCAACACAGAAAATGATAGCTGTCACATCTTCAAAACAGTGAATCCACTTCTTCCGCTCTGACCGTTGTCCCCCGACATCAAACAGCCTAGGTGAAGGGGTAAAGAAAAGTTTCTTAATGACATCAGATAATACATACACAACATAACTTTCTTTTTTGTTTTTTTTTGTAATAACTGTTCAATTCTAGTTGTGAAATAATTATAGTTTAATTCTACCTATAATAATTATGCACCTATTGAAGACTGATCCAAGTAAACCCAATGAGGACCTGAAATGTAACCATAGCTTTGCTGCAACAGATAAAAAGTGATAAAAGGGCAGAAATACATTCAATGCCTTGCATGAGAAAGAATGCTCCAGGTTCCTACCACCATTACTGCTCAATTGGCCATCTCTTTGTGGAGAGGTAGGAGGTCAAAGTTCAGATATTTTCTTTTCAGCAGTTCAGTTGATCAGAGGCCTAGGTTTTTGGTCATTTGGCCAGCACTAGAGGGAGCCAGAAAAAGCATTTTCTCCAGGAAAGGTAAATATTTCAGCCTTTCGATTACTCTTCATTTATCCACCCCAACAAGACTGTCAACTTTGTTTTAAAAAAGAGTTTGACAGGGATTAAAAAAAATCAGCTTCCATTTCCTAGGCAATGAAGGGGTCATAAGTCACCTGAAATGAACTGCCTGACAAATCGTCTTGCACCTACTACACCTGCAGTATATTAAAGTCTGGGAAAGTAACAGGCAGCAGCTGTCAAGAACTCGGGTGATGCAGCAATCTGACATTCAAGCTAAAGATCAGTGCAAACAATATGCCCATGACACCAGCTCCAGGATGGCTTTGAGAGAACGTAACTGTTCCTATGACATTACTCACATGACTTAAAATGGTTGTAAAGGTAAAAGATGTTTTACCTTGATGGATTTTCTGCATTAAGGTCAAAAACCTTTTACAATCATCTTCTCCTATGTACTCACCTGGACCTGATCTCAGTCTAGTGCTGTGCACATCTGTAGCAGTTCTTCTCCGCTCTTACAGGCTTGGCTGAGAGCAATGGAGGCCATTGGCTCCTGCTGCTGTCAGTCAAAACCTGTAAGCAAAGAGCAGGGCCAAGCCAAGATGTGTGTCTGAACAAATGAAACAGCCCAGCTCAGGAGCGAACCTGCAGGGGTAACCCCTATAGGATTCCTATGGTGGACAAAAAGCAGACAAGGGCGCACTCTCATCGTGCATTACCGTGGCACACCACGTATTAATTGTGTAGACAAATAGATATATACTCACAAACCAAAGGAAATTAAAAGCAAATGATGTAGTCCGCAAAGACAGTCAATAATGCTGTGCCCTTGATAGGGATAAGCTGACGTGTTTCGGGAGACGAACCCCCTTCCTCAGAGCTGAGGGGTTCGTCTCCTCAGCTTATCCCTATCAAGGGCACAGCATTATTGACAGTCTTTGCAGACTACATCATTTGCTTTTAATTTCCTTTGATTTGTGAATATATATGTGAGTATATATTTATTTGTCTACACAATTAATACGTGGTGTACCATGGTAATGCACGATCAGAGTGTGCCCTTGTCTGCTTTTTGTTCACAGTTTTTAGATTCCCCAATCTTTGAAGGGCAGCACCTCTTCGTTTGGCATTCAGAATTGTCTTTGGTCTGCATGAGGATTTGAGCGCTGGTTTCATTTGTTTGTTTTTCCTATGGTGGACACGCAACAGGGGGAGGAGACAAGAGTAGGGGACCCAAGAAGAGGAGGATTGGGGCTCCTCTGTGCTAAACCAACAGAGCAAGTAAATATAATGTTTTTTATTAAAAAAAAAACTCCCCCCCAAAGCTTTAGTATATCTTTAACCAGCAAGGCATCACTCCTTCACTGCCCCCTCATTTGAGATTCTGCATCTCCACCAGCAAGGATCTGACACCATAGGAGCAAGTTTCACTTTAGTGATCCTTTCAACTGCTGCTAGCAACAAAATCACTAGTGTGACATGGTGACATAGCAAAATATTGGGGAAACTACCCGCCTAGTTATAATTATTAAATATTCAGGTTTCAGAATATGCCCAATCGTGGTTGGTTCTCTTCAAACTAACATCGGAGTATAGATCCACAATAAATCTCAGAGTCCTCCAGCAGTAAGATTACCCTGCCAGAATCAGCTCAACCCCCAATTTTTCCCTCTCTTATCTCATTCTTCTGATACCTAAAATAATATTACATTAATCTTAAAGTATCCAGCAGTGAGACCCCTTGTAATCATTTTGTAATCACTGTGTTAGCTTATAGAAATTTCAACAGTTCAGCAAATCCATACGAAACATAGCAATGTTTGCCAAGCATTAATATTATATTCTAAAAACATTTTCCTTCCTTTGCTCATATGTTCTATACAGCAGGGCTTGGTTGCTAGCAAACTAAAACAGAAATGGTTACATGTGTAATTTCTGACTTTGACCAGTAGATGGAGCCACTGACTGTGCACACTGAAGGACACGAAATGATCACAACGTATACTTTGTTCTCTGCGTAACTTTGATGCTTTAATCCATTCTGTAAAGGCCTTTTTTGTACAAAGTGCTCCAGTGAAGATTATTTAGGGGACATTTTTATAGAACATTAAGATAAGTTAATATGCCCATCAAAGGAGATTACTCTTAGCTAACGAAGTTTACAACAATGTCAGATAGGATAAATCCCCGAGAAAAATATGACTCCTTGTCCGCAAATACTACATTTGTTAGTGAGATCTTACATGCCCCATATGTATGCTGACCTTAAATTAAGAACTCTGCTTCTTCCTAACTCAACTGCAATTTAAACAAATTGTCATTCACCCCATTGGTTCCATTGTGAATTATGTAAAGACCAGGGGCGGACTGACCATATGGAAACTCGGGCACTGCCTGAGGGCACGGGGTCAGTAGGGGGCCCCATGAGATGCCCCTGGTACCTTTTTCATAGGCTTTTTTGAGTTTGGGCAAGGACACAGGGGCCCCGTGATCCCCTATTTCTCGGGGGCCCCATGAGTTGTCAGCCCGCCCCTGATAAAGACAAAGGATTTTACGCAATGAAGACGGCTGGTTGAAGATGGAGAGATTCATTTGAAATTAAGAAGCTCAAAAATGTCAGATTCCAATTATAATTTAAGGTAGATTGGTTGCTTGTCATCTAGATGACATTAATAGGGGAAGATGAATTTCACCTCCTTATAACAGCATTCTTCTTCTATAAGTAGGGTGCCCACGGACATTTACAGCGTGTTCCAAAAAGAGTTTACCAAGTACTGATTATTAAAGGAAAACTTCCATGAGAAAAGTATCGTTACATAGTTACATAGTTAGTCTGGCTGAAAAAAAGACAAAAAGTCCATCCAGTTCAACCATAGAAAAAAAAAAAAAAAAAAAGTTATAATCCTTTACCCACAGGTGATCCAGAGGAAGGCAAAAAAAAAACACAGCAAAGCACGATCCAATTTGTTCTTGCTGGGAAAAAAATTCCTTCCTGATCCCGCAACAGAGTTGTTCCAAAAAGAGTTTACCAAGTACCAAGTATTAAAGGAAAACTTTCATGAGAAATAGCTCATGAGAATAGCTTACTATTGCTGACCTCCTCCTAGATGTCCTGCCATTACCCCGACCTGCGGGCATAAGTACATTCTCAGTCAATGACATAGGACAAGAGTACCGAACTTGAAAGTCCAGAAGTCCTTCTATGCATGATTGTTTCAAGCCAGTGTCTCAAAGGAATGAAGCCAGAGGATTGACACGACAGCCAGGCAACTAACATTTACAGAACCAGTCAGCAATTTTAGCTTCCATGATTTCTCATAATAAAATGCTTGTACTGTAAAAGGTTGAAGAAGATTACGGCTTCTCGTCAGAATTTATTTTCCATTACCGATAATTCCAATATTCACAAGAATACTCTGGGGTTTTTACCAGAACCGAGTAGGTCTAACCATCCTTATGTCTCCTAAGAAGGCCTAGAGTTCGATTTCCTCTGAGCATCAACAGTGATCTCCTTCATCTCTGCATGGAGACAGATATACAAGGTCCGCCTGGAAAGTATCCAGCCATGCAATATGAAAAATAGAGACATTTATTGAAGATACAAGAAACTTTGAAGGCATCATTGTCCTATGTACAAAGTAGGCACCTTGGGTCCTCACACCAAATTTCAGATGCAGTAGTTTTTGTTATCCCCAGATCAGCTTCTAGCTTTTGCATGTCAGTCACCGATCTTTATGGATTGCAGCCCGTACTCATTCAACATTATCAGGTCTTCTGTTTGTTGCAGGCCTTCCAACAGATTCTCAACCATCTTTGAAGCGCATGTGACACTTTTATTTGACTCATCAACTCCAGACTCATCCACCTTACTAACCGCTCAGTATCCGCCTCCTCCCTCTGCCAATCCCTCCACTGGCTTCCGATTGCCTAACGCATAAAATTCAACTTATTAACATTGACGTACAAAGCTGTTCATAACACTGCCCCAAACTACATCACCGATCTGATATCCATCTACCACCCAAAACGCACTCTCGGCTCCTCACAAGACCTCCTACTCTCTAGTTCCCTGGTCTCCTCCTCCCATGCCCATCTCCAGGACTTCTCCAGGGCTTCCCCCATCCTCTGGAACTCACTACCCCAATCCATCAGACTGTCACCTACCCTCCTCACCTTTAGGCGCACCCTGAAAACCCATCTCTTCAGGGAAGCCTAATCCGCCCTCACCTAATTGCCCATCTCCTCCGCTCTTCCCACCACTCCATCCCCCACAGCTATTTCCTCCTGTACCACTATCCCCTCCCTCCTAGATTGTAAGCTCCAAGGAGCAGGGCCCTCGAACCCCTCATGTATTGTATTGTTACTGTGCTGTCTCATGTACGGTCTCCCATTATAATGTACAGCGCTGAGTAAACTGTTGGCGCTATATAAATACTGTATAATAATAATAATAATATTTGCACTGCGCACCCACTGCATCATCCCTGAAAGTCATCTGAACCATCCAAATAGTTTCCACGAAGGAATGGTCAAAAGTTGATGCAGATTTGTTGCTCTACTCACTTAGTCGTTTTGAATACAATGGCCACACAGTACACATACTCACTCAATGGAGTCAACCACCCTTACTGACTAGTACAGTGAAGTCATCATTGTTCACGAAGGCGTATTCCAATTCACTCTCCTTGGCTGTCAGGTTATTTCAATGTTGTGCAAACTGTTCTATATTTACAATGGCTGGCCTTTTTTCGGACAGACCTCAGATTCTTCACAAGCGCCACAACATGGGTGCGTATACTTATGGTCACTTGCAACCTCGCCAGATGCACGTCACAACATTTCATTTCCCATACATGTCCACTATGGTTTTTTACCATCTGCATTAATCCAGTATTACCCATCCTGCTTTTCCTCTTTTTTTTTCTCTCTAGTGAGTTTCTTTTTCCAAAGATTTTCTCATCTCACTCTGCAAGCAGGCCAGCCAGTGTCCAGGTTTTTGTAATACCTTTAGTATGGGTCTATTAACCTGCCTATTAAATGAATACCATGAAATCTGGCTAAAACTCTCATGAAAGTGAGTAATCTTGAACTGGTTGACACCTTGATGCAGAGATGTCAGTTTTTCGGCATGCGTTCTGCAAGGGCACAATGAAATCAATTGTTCTCTATGTACCCTGTTCACCCCACAACATGTGCAGATGTTTTCTGTGCAGGAATCTGTAACATGTATAGAACTCATGGAGGTGTGCATGAAAACTGATGTAAACTGATGTCCCTGCAAGTGAAATCTGTGCATCAGTTTCCATGCATGTATGATGTGAAAGAGCCCTAAAAAGGTCCAATTGTTTTTGAGCATATTGACATGTATTTTATGGTACCCAAACATTTTCAATGGGTCTGCAAAACATGTATCCACATACCAAAAGTGATCCAGACTTATATTTTCCAGTAAACTGCAAGACAAGGCAAATGTTTCTTATTGCGTGTGGTCTGGTGGATTTGTGTGGTCTATGTATGTATACTGGTGTGCCAAAAAAATTAAATATGTGCTGCAACGCATGTTGTTTTACGTCTGGTAACCCTGTGCTACAACATGTGTGCGTGAGGCATAAATATGACAAAATATGCCATTCATTCTAATCAACAGGCTCAATTACCTAGCAGTAATGGTTCTTAAAACAAGATGTAGTTGTGATTAGCTGGGGTAAAAATGGTAACATTATTCAGAACCTACAAATTAGGGTGTGTTTCTGACCATTGCAAAGGGAAACACACAAAGCAAAGCTACAAGGAAATTAGTCAGGAAAAGGATCACCTGCTGGTGGCACTGTGGTTCCCCAGGAAGAGGGTTGTAATTCCAATGTCCAGCAGTGGGTTTCTCCCAGCAGATCCGAGTAATCAGTTTCCATCTGATGCTGGCTGCTGGGAAGGTATTTAGTCCCTCCCATACTAGTGCTTCTCGCTCCAGTGTTTTGCATTCTGTCAGATTCCTGCCCTGTATGCTGTATACTGTACCCTGTATCCTGCTGTCTTGTATCTGCTCTGTTCCAGATCCCAGTTTCTGTTCCCCCCTTCCCATCTGCTCCTTGTAACCCCAGTTTTCCTTGCTGTGTGTTCCCTGCATGTGTTCCCCATTGTGTATATGTTTTATATAGGTAATTGTTAATTAGGCTTCTGTTTGCTAGTTATTAGTCAGGTATTCGGTTACTGGGTTTTGGTTCACTTATGTTTTTATATCTGCTGTGTGCTGGTGTTAGGATGGATTTTGTTTAGCTGTAAATAAATCTCACTAAAAGCATATGCAGCTTGGTCCCAGTTTCCTGAGTGTAGCCAAGCAGATCGATCCATCCCTGCTGCTGATTCCTGACAAAATGGGGTTTATTTACTAAAGCTGGAGGGTGCAAAATCAGACTCACTTCTGCATAGAAACCAATCAGCTTCCAGATTTTTTTTGCCAAAGCTTAACTGAACAAGCTGAGGCTTGAAGCAGGCCTGATTTTGCACACTCTAGCTTTAGTAAATAAATCCCAATCTGTCTGAATTTAGCAAACTGCACCTATACAGACCTATCTGTCCATACTCTAGTTCGTGTTAACCTCCTGATTATATCATGGTATAGAAGATGCCACAACATGTGAAAGCCCAGGTATCACACCAACCTGAAATGGAGGTTCTTGAAGGTGAAATGAGTTTCTACAATGCCAGTGGTCTTCACTCTGGTTCGCAGGATATCCTGTTCTGTAGGTTGGTAATCTGCTGCTCCGATCCGATCTAAGCTGTCTAGGTAGCTAAAAGGAAAAAAATGTATTTCCATTAATATTGTATGAAATACAGGACAAAGCATAGCAACATGCAATTACAAAAAGAAAAAAAAAAAAGTCAGCCTAGCCTGTTTGGGCAAACAAAGAAGTTCTCTCATTGGCTGCTTCAGGTTTGAGCAATAGCATTTCATAGAAAAGGCAAAGGACAGTGAGCAAGCATCACATTTCACTAATATAATAGTTGTTCTAAAGGAGTGTCCATTATGAAGTGACCTCATTTAGCTCTCAATAATTTAACTAACATCAGCACATCCCCAGAGGAAAGGATATTAAATTCCCCATAAAATTAAAGTATTAGATTAATTAATGCAATGATTAAAATTGTAGTGAATTAGAAAGGCAAAGATTTGCTCTTTTCCAGTCTGAATGCAATGCTGTGCATTAAAAACAATTTTGTTCCCTATAGCACAATGGTAAAATCTAGGTCTAGTGCTACTATTCCTGTCTAAGTAGCTGGATAATAAAGTTGAACTGTATTCATTAATAAATCATTAAAATGTTATTTTTTCTTAATATAAGCAGTGTTAAGTACCTAATTTGACTTTGTATCAGCCTCTTGCATTCCCTGTACAGCAGAGCTCAGAATAGGAGACGGAGAAGTAGCACAAGAGCCAGTCAGCAGTGCTGCAGTATATATGTACATACAAGGAGCATGCTGATAAGTGGAGAAAGCAGAATGCCAGAGATGAGCTCACCATTGGCTACAAGATCTGTGTTGGCTAAAGCCCAAATGAACCCTTGGCTGAAATCTGCTAAATACTTTTCAGGTGCATCAAAACAAAAGGTGTTCAGTGTTTTCCAGTTTGTTTTCTTCCTAAACTGATACAAGGGAGCCAGAGCTGCAGGATCATAGGATGGGATGCAGTGGACTAATAATATATAAATTCACAGATCTTTTTTGCAGGTTAGGTAGGATAGGTAGCCTACCGTAAGGAAGAATTTTGTTATAGACAAATATAGATTGAAAGATAGATATTAAAATCAAAAGGGGCCCAACCTTATAGCTAATTGTAGATTTTTTTACAGGTGGAAAATTTCTGTGAAGAATGCTATTATTGCCATTGTAGTCACGGAGTTAGTAACTGAACTACAATCACATCTTCCAGCTACATAAGACCTGTGGACCGCATATTCCCTCAATGATCTTGCAGTCAGAAATGCAAATTGTATTCTGAACCCGTCTTAATGAGTCCTGTGTTCCTGCCGAACATACAGGGACAGGTCATGTGGTTCCTTTAGAACAGTGGTGCCTATCCCGTGGGCCCACGGAGCCCTCTGACATGACCTACGACCTCAAACCAGGGAAGTATATGTCCATGGATGGCATATTGGCAAGCCTACATCATGATCAATGGGTTGCCAACCCACCATCCCAGAGCATCAAAGTGCATGGAGTCAGCACCAGCAGTGAGCAGGAGCCGCATAAGCTGATGCTTCCTCTGTAGTGCTGGCTCCTGTCCCAGGCGTAGTGATACCAAGTGCACTTCACCTGGGACCTTTCTAGCAGCCTGGAGAGATATGCCAGCAGAAGCTGCAAGAGGAGAAAGGGTCAAGGTATTAAACATCATAAAGACAGCACTTTTGCAATGGGCATATTAGAAAAAAACAGTTATTAGGCTGCTTTTATACAGATCCACAAGTGTAGCACAGTGCACCTGAAACTTCCCTGCAGGTTAGCTGCACTAAGCCATAGACTTCTATCATATCCTGAGGGTTTGGAGTGGTTTTAGAAAGTGCACCACACCCAATTCGGGGGCGGTAAAACCCCATCGTTCATTGTGATCAGTTACCCAATCACTTATGTGGCCCTTGCTCTTCAAAAGGTTGAGCACTCCTGCTTTAGAACACTGTTAATCAACTGTTTGTAATGTACATCATAGTGAACAGAGTACAAGGGTCAGAAGAATTTAACATACACAGAACAGCACCCCCGAGGATTCATTCCACCCAATTCATTGCACAGCAATACCTCTTATGAGACATTTTGACAACACACACCTACATATACCCACATATACTATATTGCCAAAAGTATTGGGACGTTAGCCTTTATACACACATGAACTTAATGGCATCCCAGTCTTAGTCCGTAGAGTTCAATATTGAGTTGGCTCACCCTTTGCAGCTATAACTCTTCTGGGAAGGCTGTCCACAAGGTTTAGGAGGGTGTCTATGGGAATATCTGGCCATTTTTCCAGAAGCACATTTGTGAGGTCAGGCACTGATGTTCGGACGAGAAGGCCTGGCTCACAGTCTCCGCTCTAATTCATCCCAATGGTGTTCTATCGGGTTGAGGTCAGGACTCTGTGCAGTCCAGTCAAGTTCCTCCACCCCAAACCCCATCCATGTCTTTGTGGACCTTGCTTTGTGCACTGGTACGCAGCTGGAACAGGAAGGGGCCATCCCTTGTAATGTACAGCGCTAAGCGAACCATTGGCGCTTTATAAATACTGTATAATAATAATAACAATCCCCAAACTGTTCTCACAAAGTTGGGAGCATGAAATTGTCCAAAATGTCTTGGCATGCTGGCACCACTGGAACTAAGGGGCCAAGCCCAACCCCTGAAAAACAACTCCACACCATAATCCCCCCTCCAACAAACTTTACACTTGGCACAATGCAGTCAGGCAAGTACTGTTCTCCTGGCAACTGCCAAATCCAGACACGTCCATTGGATTGCCAGACAGAGAAGCGCGATTGGTCACTCCAGAGAACATGTCTCCACTGCTCCAAAGTCAAGTGGTGGCATGCTTTACACCACTGTATCTGACGCTTTGCATTGCACTTGGTGATGTAAGGCTTGAATGCAGCTGCTTAGCCATGGAAACCCATTCCATGAAGCTCTCTACGCACTGTTGTTGTGCTAATCTGAAGGCCACACGAAGTTTGCAGGTCTTTAGCTATTGACTTTGCACACAGTTATTGACTTCCACGCACTGTGCGCTTCAGTATGCATTGACCCCGCTCTGCCATTTTATGTAGTTTACCACTTCATGGCTGAGTTGCTGTTGTTCCCAGTTGCTTCCACTTTGTTATAATACAACAGTTGACCGTGGAATATTTAGTAGTAAGGAAATTTCATGCATGGACTTATTGCACAGGTGGCAACCTATCACAGTACCACGTTTGAATTCACTGAGCTCCTGAGAGCGACCCAATCTTCCACAAATGTTTGTAGAAGCAGTCTGCATGCCTAGGTGCTTGATTGTATACACCTGTGGCCATGGAGGTGATTGGAACACCTGAATCCAATGATTTGGAGGGCTGTCCCAATACTTTTGGCAATATAATGTACATGCACATACACACTTGCATACATTTACACACATTATTATTATTATACAGTATTTATATAGCGCTAAAAGGTTTGCTCAGCGCTGTACATTATAGTGGGGACCAGAACATGAGACAATACAGTAACAAAACACAAGGGGTTCAAGGGCCCTGCTCTTTCCAGCTTACAATCTAGGACTCCATCCACATAAATATAGGCTTTCTAAAAAAAAAAAAAAAAAAAAAACAGATTTACTGTACCAGGCATCTTCTCCGTTTGGTGGACTATCACTTTCAAGCTAAACCTCCTGATACTTTGCCACCAGTGTAAGGCATGTGGCAAATGAGCCCATAAAGTCGGGTGCAATGTGTGTTTACACAGTACTGCAAGGTAGAGGCTGGGAGGCAAAGAAGGCTGGGACTGAAGAGACACCCTCCCCAAATCCCTTGCTCAGGCCTAGATTTGATTGGCACACAAATGTCATGGTTTCCAGTCTACACTTGCATACAGTTCCTTGATTCTCCGCCTCAACTCTCTATTGAAACATTTCCTCAACCAGAATGCTGCAGAACCTCTGGTGAACCCAGGCAACATCCCAGTTGGGAAAGGCTGCTTAGTGCATATTTACATGAATTTAAAAATTAGGCCAGAGTCGTTATGGTATTGTGGGAGAAAATAAATACTGTGGGAGATATACTAAAACCGGTGCACTCAAAATATTATGCATCTGTGCATGGTAGCCAATTGGCTTCTAACTTCAGCTTGTTCAATTAAGCTTCAACACTAAAACCTGGAAGCTGATTGGTATCTATTCAAAGCTGCACCAGATTTTGTACCGTGTAGTTTTAGAAAAAAAAAAAACCAAGCTGTCTACATTATATTATTCTAAACATTTTTAGGCTGCAATGCGTAAATGAAAAATGCTCCATAGGGCTCTTTCACATGGACGATCTGATCACGATATTGCCTTTTCAACACCTGATTTAAACCAATGCTTGCCTGATTTAATCACTTCCCGCCCAGCCTATGGCCGAATGGCGGCCGGTAAAAACCCTCACCTTCCCGGGTGGAAGCCATATGGCGTCCTTTCGAGCATGCGCAGTTCATGCGCCTGCAGAGCCGAGCAGCGGCGCGATCTGTCACCGGCCGTGTACCTCGGACACGGCCGATGACAGATATGAGTACCGGCCCCGTTGCCGGTACCATGTGACCTGCTGTGACCAATCACAGCAGGTCACATGACAGTTGTATACAATGGATGGCTTCATTCATGCCATCCATTGTATACTAGTGTGTCTAGCTGTGAATGGTCACAGTGATCACATGCACAAGCTGGGCCAATCACAGCCCAGCTGTGTCATGTGATTAGCCGTGGCCAAATCACAGCTAAGCACAAAAAAAAAAAATAAACCCCTGAATAAATCGATTTCATTCAGGTAAATGCTTGCTTATAGCAAAGTAATTCTTTGCTACAGGCAAATAGTGTAAAAAAAAAAAAAAATACTGATCACTTCCCCAAAGTAGTACAGTGTTACTTTTCAACACCTGATTTAACCATGGTAACATTGTACTACTTTGGTCATAGTGAAATATGAAAAAAAAGTCTTAAAAAAAAGAAAAAATATAACAAATTAAAAATAATAAAAAAAAAAAAAAGTTAAAAAAAATTATTATTTTTTTTCATACTGGC